GGCTTGCATTCGCGTACAGCCAACTCGGGATAAAAGATTTATTTTCTGGTACGGGGAGGAGGTAGTGAGTTCGAACCCTGACCCGATGGTAACCGAAAAACTGAATAATTCGGCTGATTTTGTTATTTCATTAGGGCCTGCTTGATACAGTTTATTTGTATGTATAGTCTATTTGTATCGTATTATATGAGTATTTTTATGTGTGTTTTATACTTATTTATATATGCATGCATGTAAACTCAAACTGCCAAAGTTACTCTATAACTGTTTATATTTCCTTTATTTGAAAGTCCCGCAATTTGTAAACCGTGAAATAATAGTCAAAACCGTACTTTGCTATATAATTTGAAAAGTTCACATTGTAATGAACAATTATCATTTATTTCAAGTTGATGAGACCACACCTTCATGACAAACTACTTAAACCAAAACCTTAACCAAATATGGGACTTACTAACAGAACAGAAAACATAAAGCCCCCTTCTATCGCAGGCGATAAAAAAAGAATGTTACATCCATGATAAGCTCTTAATTACTTCAGATATGAAATTAAAGCTTTAGTTTCTTCATTGTTAAAAGTTTAGGTTAAGGATGTACATAGGTGAGGTTTAGGAATATTTGTTAGATATTCGGACTTCTAGGTTTTTTTCCTACGATACAGGGTAAAATATTTTGCCCCATAACTACCAATTTTCATATAAGAATCCAATAGCTCATAAAAGGTCATTTACCAAAATTTAAGCAGATTCTAGATTACTTTTCTTTCGATATGAGACCCATTTGATTAGGGACTTTCCGTTTTGGATTTTCCTCGGAGTATTTTTGTGATTTTACTTTTTAATACCAATGCAAATATAAGGTAAAAGTCCGAGTCTTCCTTTTCCCGCCATTATTTAAAAATCAAATATATCGAAAAGGAGCTCCATAACTTATCAATATTTTAGCTTATTTTGTTTCTCAACTAATGCTCTTCTGGCTAATAGTATACATTTTAAATTCTAGATTTTTTTTAATTTCACCTAAGTACATCCTTAATACATCTGCACTCAATATTGACTTTTATGCATCGTTATTGGTATTTATCATTGTCATTTATTTATCATTTCCGTCTATAGGAACTATCTGGTTATTTCGATTATTTTCTGTCAAGTGGTTTTCTTTGTTTGAATCAAACAACTATCAAAGTTTAAGTATTTCCTGCAATTGTTGTAAAATTGTGAACGTACATTGGATGAAAAAAAATGTAAACAATTATTTCCGCATTAGTTGAAATTTCCTGTTATTAGTATTACGTTGTTTGATTATCCTCGGAGTTCAGTATTTTTGTGTTTTACCTTTGATTCGATGCGATGTAGAGTTGCACTCTAGATGTCTTCTAGTTATTTGTGTCATTTTGTTGATGTCTCGTCGGTATATTTTTTAAATGTAATCATTTGTTAGTTTATCATTCAAGTAATCAGTCTCAGAGTAACAATATATAAATAAGGAGATGTGGTATATTTGCCAATGAGACAACTATCCATCAAAGTTAAATTGAAGTTGATGTAAGCAATTATAGGCAACCGTACGTCCTTTAACAATGAGAAAAACCAATACCGCATAGTCGGCTAGAAAAGGCCCCGACGTGAATATATGAAACAATTCAACTGAGAAAACTAACGGCTTAATTTATAACAAAACAATTTACGAAAAACAAACATGACAGACATGAATTAACGACAACCACTGAACTACAATCTCCTGACTTGGGACAGGTAGTCTGTTATATATTGTATAGAGCTCCCTTGTGAATATCGGTTGTCGTTCGGTACATCGAGATATGAGCTTGTCAAAAAATTGAATATTCTTCATAATAAAGAAATATATTTTAAATCTGTACAAGATAATGCTCCACATTAAGAATTTTTGTCATTCTACATTTTATATAGCATCTTTATATATTAATTATCTGATCTTTTATAGCGAACAGTTTATCATTTACTGTCATTATCCCCATAACCAACCATAAAGTGTTTGCTCTTCCGAAAAATAAAATTTTCAAAGAAATCTAAATACCCCGGCCTCGAGCAGTAGTTGATATCTCAGGGACAACAAACTTGACAGTAGACTCATAACCAGTCAATAAGTGTCTTATTGTTTTTAAATGTCCTTGCTTTTAAATGAAAGTTGATGAAAAGTAAATGCCAATATTACTATTTCTCAAACAGTTTTTCTTCACTTCATAGTGGGGTGATCAAAAACGTATATATATATGCGTAACATGTTTTGGTAAAAAAAAACACTTAATACAAATGCATTCAAAGCATGTTGTATTAAGCCAAGGATTGTCATTTAACATCAACTAATACTTATTATCAAAATTAGCATCATGCTTTCCAGAAATGCACGAAATTGGCATGATCATTTTTACCTGTAGAATTGAATGGGACTGGTATAAACTGCGATTCAAAATTTGATAAAATAGCTTGATAAGCAATAATTGAAAATTTTAGGAGGAAAATCGTCTATAATTGGCAATAATCCATATATTAGTCATAAATTTAAACGATGTAAACACGATATCGTTAATACATTGTAAAGACCACAAAGATAACGATGTCAAAGATGTAAACAATAAATAAAAGTTCATGCAATATGACTGATGTTGACACGCTATCGTGAATACCGCAATGTAAAAAATGTTAACACGATATTAATAATACATTGTATATATCGAGATGTTAACGATGTAAACAGTATGAAAGAGTGTTTATAATTCAAACTATGTTGACTCGATGTCGCGTTAACATAGTTAATATTGCAATGTAAAACGATGTTAACATGAAACATGCGAAATCGTTATTACATTGCAAACATCGAGATGTTAACGATGTCAAGGGTGTAAAATATATATATGAATTCTTTCATTGTTGACGATGTCGACACAATATCGTGTTTACATTGTAAATATCGCGATGTAGACAATATTTTTAACATTGTGTTCTGGACATGAATGACTATATGGTACAAGGTTTTTTTTCATTGTTGAAGGCCGTACATTTGCCTTTAATTGCTTAGGCTCATTCGAACTTCGGTGGTTAGTTGTCTCATTGAAAATCATGCCATATCTCCTTGTTAGCTCACCTGGCCCAAAAGGGCAAAGTGAGCTTTTCTCATCACTTGGCGTCCGTCGTCCGTCGTCGTCCGTCGTCGTCGTCCGGCGTCGTCGTTAACTTTTTACATTTTGAACTTCTCCTAGAGAACCACTGAATGGAATAAAACCAAACATGGCATAAATGTTCCTTATGAGGTGCTGACCAAGTGTTGTTACTTTGTAGCGGATCCACCATCCAAGATGGCCGCCAGCGGGGGACTTAGTTTAATATAGGAGCCTATGGGAAATACATACAAATGTCTTCTTTTAGAGAACCACTGAATGGAATGAAACCAAACATGGCATGAATGTTTCGTATGAGGTGTTGACCAAGTGTTGTTACTTTGAAGCTGATCCATTATCCAAGATGGCCGCCAGCAGGGGACTTAGTTTAACATAGGACCCTATGGGAAATACATACAAATGTCTTCTTTTAGAGAACCACTGAATGGAATGCACCCAAACATGGTATGAATGTTCCTTATGAGGTGCTGACCGAGTGTTGTTACTTTGAAGCCGATCCATAATCCAAGATGGCCGCCAGCGGGGGACTTAGTTTAACATAGGACCCTAAGGGAAATACATACAAATGTCTTATTTTAGAGAACCACTGAATGGAATGAAACCAAACATGGCATGAATGTTCCTTTTGAGGTGCTGACCAAGTGTTGTTACTATGAAGCCGATCCATAATCCAAGATGGCCGCCAGCAGGAGACTTAGTTTAACATTGGACCCTATGGGAAATACATACAAATGTCTTCCATTAGAGAACCACTGAATGAAATGAACCCAAACATGGCATGAATGTTTCTTATGAGGTGCTGACCGAGTGTTGTTACTTTGAAGCCGATCCATAATCCAAAATGGCCGCCAGCAGGACACTTAGTTTAACATTGGACCCTATGAGAAATACATACAAATGTTTTCTTTTAGAGAACCACTAAATGGAATGAAACCAAACATGGCATGAATGTTCCTTATGAGGTGCTGACCAAGTGTTGTTACTTTGAAGCTGATTCATCATCTAAGATGGCCGCCAGCGGGGGACTTAGTTTAACATAGGAGCTTATGGGAAATACATACAAATGTCTTCTTTTAGAGAACCACTGAATGGAATGAAACCAAACATGGCATGAATGTTCATTATGAGGTGCTGACCAAGTGTTGTTACTATGAAGCCGATCCATAATCTAAGATGGCCACCAGCGGAGGACTTAATTTAACATAGGACCCTATGAGAAATACATACAAATGTTTTCTTTTAGAGAACCATTGAAAGGAATGAAACCAAAACATGGCATGAATGTTCCTTATGAGGTGCTGACCAAGTGTTGTTACTTTGAAGCTGATCCATCATCCAAGATGGCCGCCAGATGGGGACAATGTTTAATAAAGGATTCTATGGACAATGCATACAAATGTCTTCTTTTAGAGAACCACATACTGAATGGATTGAAACCAAACATGGCATGAATGTTCTTTATGAGGTGCTGACTATGTTTTTGTTACTTTGAAGCTGATCCCTCATCCATGATGGCCGCCAATGGGGGGACTTCCTTTAACATAAGACCCTATCGGAAATACATACAAATGCTTCTTCTAGAGGTGCACTGAATGGAATGAAACCAAAACATGGCATAAATGTTTCTTTGTTGCCGATTTACTGTTCAAGATGGCCACCAGGATTTTTTTATTAAATTATAGGACCAATATTAAACCAAATTTGGCCTCACTCATTATTAGGGTATCTGTTATGATTTTAATCTATTTTTACATGATTTCCAAAACCAAAGAAGAATCAGGTGAGCGACACAGGCTCTTGAGAGCCTCTAGTTTTATATTCTTGTCTTACTTCTTAATTTCAGTGATTCGAGGGCTGTGTCTACTCGGCTTCAGTATATACTTTGTAATGTATATACTACTTATTGCACTTGACATGAGTTTGGGTAAGTTTTATTTTTATAAGTTTATATTTTTTTATTCTCCCATTCATTTATTTGTACATATTGACTCTGATACCCCATCATGCACAATTACTAATATTATCTCCTCTTATATTAAATTGTAAGATAGTGAGGATGAATTGCAAAGGCAATGTTTCGGTTATGACAACTTTCCAATTTTTTAATAGGTCAATTGTAGCAAAACTAAGTCTACATCTCCCATAGTACGGAGACAGTGTGTTCAATTTTGTAACTTTTCATTTTGATTGTAATGCTTCTCAAGTTATCTCGTACAATGTTGTTTTACGAGCATACATGCAAAATATTAGTTAAGTTACACGAGATATGGACACTACATTATGTTTTATGCGTTTTTATTAAATATTTGTCAAATGAATACGTTGGTACGTGATATATGTTGGTAAGAGCATTCACATTTAATAAGGAATGAGCAAAATTAGGTTAATTTTTTTTTATCATAGTTTTCATTTTCGTACAATGTATTTAAATTATTTCAGGTGTAACAATTGCTCTAACGGTTGTTTGCTGTCTTATAGGCATCATCTTCGTTATATTTGTAATACGGAAAAGAAAATAGTGTACGTATATAACATGTATAAGATAAAAAAGTGATAACAAAAGGAAAGAGGACAAAATATAAAAAAAAATTTAAACTATTAAACTATGTGAACCTTATTCTACCAAAAAAAAGATGTAAAACTTTTAATGAATTGTAATGTCTTGATTTAATTAAAATTTCATTTAGCCCGCTTTGAATCATCTTCCGACTCTTTGCTTATTGAACTTAAAGTTATGTGCAGATTGTTTTCGCTATACACATATTTGTTCTGTGTGTTTTTGTTTACGTGTGTGTATGTTGGTGGTATGCTCGTGTTTAACTGCTTGTTAGACGTAAGATTTGACATCATGACCGTTTTAAACTAAGGAGAATAAAATTGAGAATGGAAATGGGGAATATGTCAAAGAGACAACAACCCGACCAAAAAACAGACAACAGCCGAAGGCCACCAATGGGTTTTCAACGCAGCGAGAAAATCCCGCATCCGGAGTTGGTCCTCAGCTGGCCCCTAAATAAAATTGTGTACTATTTCAGTGAAAATGGACGTCACAATTTAACTCCAAAACATAAAAATATACTAAAACTAAAAAAAATACAAGACTTACAAAGGCCAGAGGCTCCTGACTTGGGACAGGTGCAATAATGCGGCGTGTTACACATGTTTTGTGAGATCTCAATCCACCTCCCATACCTCTAGCCAATGTAGAATAAAGAAACACATAGCAATATGCACAGTAAAACTCAGTTAAAAAGAAGCTCGAGTCCGATGTCAGAATAGGTAACAAAAGAAACCAAGGAAAACGACAATGAAACATAAATTAACAAAGGACTACTAGCAGTTACTGACATGCCAGCTCCAGACCTCAATCAAACTGAATGAACGATTATATTTTCATCATATGAAAATGAAATACAATCCCTCCCGTTAGGGGTCTAGTATCATACCATCATAAAATATATGAGAAGAACTTTACCCGTATCATGCCAACAACTGGTTTTAGAATAAATGTGTTTATTTTCGATGCAAAGACCCTATGAGTGAATCAATATCAATACCAAAATATGCAATCCTTAATGACCTGACAACAGTATCGTAACTATATCCCTTCCGAATAAGTCTGTTTAAAGGTTTGGTTAGCTTTTGATGTGAATGCCGACATTTTTATGCTTTGTAAAGAATATTACCATAAAATATTGAAATGTCTTTCAAACATACATATGTATGTTTAATCTATTCTGACTTATTGAGGTTTAATGTAAATGTCATGTCAAATAAAAAAAAATCATCCAAACAAAAACAAGTCTTGCATCGGGATATTTTATTGATTTCGATCTGTCAGTTGATACCGAACAGTTAAAAATCCGTTGACAATCAGAGTTTAATTAGTTGCCAAGCAGTCAAGGCTTTTTTTTTATCATGATAAGCAGTAACGATACCAAGGTGGCAATCAAAGTCCAATCGGAAAACAAACATCTTGACCAAACAGAAAAAAGACTAAGAATCAGACACAGACAAACCAGTATATAGAAAACTAAAGATTTTTCAAATTTGCTGATTAGTTGTTTTCTATTGATTATTAGATATGTGTATAGGTTCCGGACCATATGAGTATCATCAAACACTCCTCATGAGAGTTTCTACGATTCTTAAAACATAATAATAACATAAACTTTGTTACAACATATCAATTTATGTTCATTATAGATTTGATAGAGCAAAAGAGAACCCAAATATGTTAAGCTCAAGGTTTCTTGTATAATAAACGAACCCAAATGTTTTGGAAACTTCAGGTGTTAAGTTAAAGTTTTTTTTATATTCAGTAGTCTTTGAAGTATTAATTACGTTTTGTTTAATGTTTACTGAAATATATTTTCCGTTATTAATAAACAAAAACAAATTTAAAGTGTTACTGTGGCTTTTATTAGACGAAATGCTTATAAGACAGACTTTTCAAAAACTTTTTTAGAAGTCGCAAAGACGTTAACGAAAGAGAAAAAAGAATGTGTACTAGGTAGATTATCTATCTTTATATTTACAAACACACAACCGTTTGTTAGTTATTTGTTAGCCCTTTATATTTTAATGTTCATTTCAACAAATTTTCTATTTAGTTTTTTTTGTTTTTCTTGATTAATACTAAACACAATAAAATTGAGAATGGAAATGGGGAATGTGTCTAAGAGACAACAACCCGATCACAGAGCAGACAACAGCCGAAGGCCACCAATGGGTCTTCAATGCAGCGAGAAACTCCCGCACCCGGAGGCGTCCTTCTGCTGGCCCTTAAACAAATATGTATACTAGTTCAGTGATTATGGACGTCATACTAAACTCCAAATTATACACAGGAAACTAAAATTAAAAATGATACAAGACTTACAAAGGCCAGAGGCTCCTGATTTGGGACAGGCGCAAAAATGCGGCGTGGTTAAACATGTTTTTTGAGATCTCAACCCTCCCCCTATACTTCTAGCCAATGTAGAAAAAACAAACGCACAACAGTACGCACAGTAAAACTCAGTATAAGAGAAGTACGAGTCCAATGAAAGAATAGGAAACAAAAGAAAATAAACAAAATGACAATAATACAAAAATAACAACAGACTACTAGCAGTTACTGACGTGCCAGCTCCACACCTCAATTAAACTGATTGAAAGATTATGTCTTCATCATATGAATATCAGGCACAATCCCTCCTGTTAGGGGTTTAGTATTAAACCGTTATAAAATATATGAGAAGAACATAACCCGTGTCATGCCAACAACTGGTTTTAAAACACATGTGTTTAATTCCGATGCAAAGACCCTATAAGTGAATCAATATTAAAGCCAAAATATGCAATCTTTAATGACCTGACAACAGTATTGTAACTATATCCCTTCTTAATAAGTCTGTTTAAAGGTTTTGTTAGCTTTTGAGTTGAATACTGACATTTTTGTACTTTGTAAAGAATATTACCATAAAAGATTGGATGTGAAATACCCGAACGTATAAGATGTCTGCATGTTGAGTTATATTTACGAATGATGTCCTGGTATGAGTGCCAATGAGACAACTCTCCATCCAAGTCAAAATTTATAAAATTAAACCATTATAGATCAAAGTAAGGTCTTCAACACGGAGCCTTGGCTCACACCGAACAGTAAGCTATAATGAGCCCCAAAAATTACTAGTGTAAAACCATTCAAACGGGAAAACCAACGGTCTAATCTATATAAAAAATGAGAAACGAGAAACACTTATGAACCACATCAACAAACGACAACTACTGAACATCAGATTCCTGACTAAGGACAGGTGCAAACAAATGCATCGGGTTTAAACGTTTTAATGGTACCAAACCTTCACCCTTTTTCTGAAACAATAGTGTAACATCACAACATAGAAAGACACACTATAAAATATCAACTGAAATAGCTTAACTCAATCAAAGGACATATTAACACGAGTGAACATACACTGAACAAATAAATTTGACCTGTGATACAATTTAAATACAAAATAAATAAACTAAGGGAAGAATAACAAAAGTAACATGTTATATCGGTATGAAATGTTAAACAATTTAAGAAAAACAATATGCTCGAACAAAAATAACAGCCATTTGCAATAACTTTAAACACAGGTAAATGAAAATAATTTTGTTGTTAGGTATACGTGTACAGTTCCAATAGAGAAAGGAAATATTTTTACAAAATAAATAATTTTGATGTTCATAGTACGAAGTGAAAAATTATAGTAGTACCAAACACTTATCAAAGCTGGTATATAGACCAGATATAACCCTGAATAACATTAAATAACAAAAAAGCATAACAATTAGTATCAACTGGTCAAATAAACAACCCCCCCAAGGGTGACTGGGGAATAGAAATATGGTCACCATTAGTCTTCCTCCGACCGGCGGTAAAACCCTCGCTTAAGTGGGGCGTCCGTTTGGCTGTGCGGGATGTACAAGTTCGCAGTCACGTCCGGTCAGAATGGGGACGTTAAATCCGATGCCTCGTGTAAAGAGAGTGCCACGTTCTTTGCACGTTAAGAACCCTTGCAACACCTCTTTGAGGGGTCCGTAGGTAGCCTGTTGCAAGGCTAAATTTCTGTCCCTATCCAATATACCCTCATTTTCCCGTGGCAGTCCAAATTTCCCCAACCTTTATCCCGAACGGCCTCTATTACAGGACCTACCTATTGTATTTATTGTTAACTTGTTCTCGTCCTGAACATGCATGAAATATTTGCCACTGGACGTTAAGCAACCAACAATCAATCAATCAATCAAATAAACAAGAAAGTACGATTTGAGAGTACTCGCAGTTACTGACAGCTAGTTAAAAGCCAAAACAATTAATAATAAAAAATCATGCATCAGAGACTAAAATCAACTAAAACACATCCCAGGGATATACCTATCTCATGCATAACTTAATGTACATTATACAATTTATAGTTACAGTAGTTAATTCAGACTGAAAGTTGTCGCTTGTAATTTTTTTTTAAATGTTATGTCACTTTGTTTTATCATTAACTTGTCGAATGAGGTATTTTGCCAGAAAGCAATGGAATGATATTTTATATTTTACCGATTGTGTCCCATTCTTGATTGTGACATTTTGACTGATTGTAAATACGCATGGCGAGTGACGCATAGATAGCAGAAGACACCTACCCGCCGACCAATCCGTTCTCGCTCCTTTTGAAGTTCATGCTATTCATTAAGTTTTTGTTAATTACTTTTATTTGTTGCTTTTCAATTGACGGACGTGATTTGAACATTAGTAAACTACCATCGCCTCAATTTGATAAAAATTAATGTAGGAATTGAAAATTGTATTAATTGATTTTGCTTCTATTGAAGCTTGTTCGGTGTTTCAATCATGTTTGTTTGTCACTCTCTCTGCACGTAAAAGGACATTCACAATTACTCGTTGAGGTTTTCAGACTGCTTATTGAAATAATTTCTTGTATACGTACATGCACAGCAAACAATTTCTGTCCAGGGCAGTTAGTAAATGTTCTTCCATCAACCAACTATACCTTAGTTCTTGTTATTGGATATATCCTTTTATCAAAAATAATAAACTTGTTGCTTATAACCTAAATATCAAAATGTATACAAACAGATATCATTGATGACGTATGTGTATATCACTACAGCAAATTAAATAACAAACGCTGATTTAGGTTGGCTTATGAT